AAGTTCTCTTGTGAATCATTCGATTACTCCAAAAGTTCCTTTTCCTCGTAGGTTTTTGAATTCAAAGAAGGAGCAAGTTTCAAAGGACATTCTAGAGACTTTCCGAAAAGTGCAAGTGAACATTCCCTTGCTTGATGCGATCCAACAAATTCCAAGCTATGCAAAATTCCTCAAAGACCTTTGTACAAATAAGAGAAAGTTCAAGGAGCATGAAACCGTGGCCTTGAGTGAAGAAGTCTCAGCTGTGCTATTGCGTAAATTGCCTCCTAGCTAGAGTAGCACTCAACTCATCGGTCTGTTGCAAACTGCCTCTCCTTCTGCACAAAAAAGAATCCACACAATCAAGTTGTTAGTATCAAGAGAGGTAGAGCGAGAGAGAGAAGGAGAGTGGAGTTTCGAGATTGTGAGACAGAGATAGAGACCTACATTTTCTGGTAAATCACCGATCCGATGTAAATTTGCATGACTCATGACCTGAACGGAAAAGTGGTGTTTATATTTGACTCTCTTCTTCTGATTTATTAAGTGAAGGGTGGCTTGGTTCTCCACCATTTTCTCTCAAGAACAAAGCAAAACAAAAGAAAACCCTAACTACGAGCTACTACTGCTTGACGGCCCCCTGTACATCATAAGAAATATATAGTGGCTGCGTGCGTGGTGGGTAGGTAGGGCAGACAAATTAGTCACCTAAAATATGCCAACAAATGTATTACACTTGGCAGGCTCTGATTGTGTCACTCCACATATCTCAGGCACAGTGATTGGCCACAGGGGGCCCATGAAACTGTTATCGTAGCTGACTAGGAAACGGATAGAGCCAGCACTACCTGCATGTATTTTTGGATATAGGACAACATTGCACATGAAGTAACCCCAATTAGCAACCTCAATTCATATGGTCTAATTGTTTTGTAATTTGTAAATAATAATAGATAAGACATTAGAAGTATATTGATTTTTCCGCAATAACCGAATACTTTTGTCTATAAATACTGCATATTTGATTCCATCCATAAATCTATTTTCTTCCCTATGAGTTGGGGTTTGTTGTATATAACTTTGAGTTTTATTTTTGGTGTTCAGAGGCTAGTTCCACATAAAATATGTATACATTGTACATTGTTGTCTTTTTCAGTAACTTCATTTCACATGTTAAATAGATAATAAATAACTTTAGAATTATTTCACAAGAAGCTGTTTTTTCCAATGTTCCAACCACTCCGTTTACGGTATGAACAACTTCATTTCACTTAGAGGTTGCTTTTGAAAGCTGCTTTCACAAGAAGCACATAATAGCCTTTAATGAATTTTTCCAATTCCCATAATACCATCATTAATTTTTATAAATCACATCATCGACCACCACCTCCATCACTACCAATCCCACCTCCTCCTCCATCACCACCACCACTACCGTCGCCACCTCCACCACCACCACCACCACCTTCACCTCCACCTCTACCACTTCCACCACCACAACCACCCACCACCTCTACCTCCATTGCCACAACCACCAACTCCTCCACCACCCACCACAACCACCAACTCCACCTCCACCTATACCACGCCCACCACTTCCATTACCATCACTGCCACCACCACCACATAGTTAGTACATAACACTTTCATGTCTGTTTTAGTCATTATCAACAGTTATAATAGTTTTATATTAAAATTTATCAACAACATCATGTCCCTTTTAGTCATTATCCATAGTTACAACATTTTTATATTAAAGTTTACCAAACGATTTTGACACTGTTTTTTATACTAACAGCACTTTAAAAAAATTGTTTACCAAACATGGAACTGCTTTACTTTACAGTTCATTATTTTCAAAGCACAGTAGAAGCAGCCTTTTTAAAAAGTGATAGCAATCCCAAACCGGCCCTAAGTTATTCATGCCTTTAGTGAAAATGGTGGAGGGATTTTACGCATGGTTTTAAGTTATCCGTGCCGCAATAGCATTTTATAGAGACTGTTTTTACTTCTATCTTTAATAAAGGGGTTCCTATCATGCTTTTTTTTTTTTTTTTCTAAAAATGATGGCTTGTATTAAAAAAAAAATTTGTTAAACATTAGCTCACCCATCGCTTGTTCA